ACGTCAAATCTAAAGTCGGTTTCCCTTAGAGGAACGCAAGTTCGAATCCTGACTGTAAGTGCATATCTTTCTAAGATTTCTCGAATATATGGGTAGCCACTCATGAAGCATTGTAGATTGTGGTAGTTATCTCCCAATATTATTATAAATATATATAAAATATCTCAGCGCTCATGAGAATTAACTATGAACTCTGCTGAAAAACAGCTGATCTGTACGAGGTAAGAAAATAACTTAATATAGAACGAACGTTTAAATCTAAATTTATTTTCAAAATGCTCTTCATATTATTTCGAACGACGTACATTTAAATATTCTTGATAGGATAAATTCTCTTCGGAAACATTAATTGATAAAAGAAAGAAAACATTGATGAGTTTTCGTAAAAAAATCAGTTTCTTTCTATGATGGGTGCGATGAGTAAATTGTCACCATTTTATACTTTTAATTTTGCACATGCACGTTGTTTTTTATTTTGTCAACTGCACATTATAGTAGGGTCAGTTGGGCACTGTTTGTGAAAAAAAGAGTACCATGACGTAATTCAATTCGTCAGAAATTTGAAAACAACAATACGAATATTTCAGATTGTTTGGGTGTCAATCACTGCAGAGGATTCAGAAAGAGTTGGATGAGTGTAGTGGTGATTACGAAGGTTTTTTGGAGTATTTACTAGTGATGTCGACGTTATACCCCATTTCACCTTCCCACGGGGCTTCCCACTCAACACGGAGACCCACAAGTACTTTGATGAGGTAGTGCTGACCTGGGTCAAGAGGGTGGCTGCTGGAATACCTTATGTCTGGCAACATACAAGCAGGAAAACCTAGTCATGCCTATCAGACAATTTCTGCGATCATATCACCCCTTACAGCTGACCACCCATGCAACCCCTTTGATTATTATGTGTGGGACACAGTTGAGCAAGAGACCAATAAAACTCCTTGTAACATGAAAGATGAACTGAAGGCAAAGATTATAGCAGCATTCACCAGCTTAAACAAGGAGACCATCCAGGCAGGAGATTCTGGAGTCGTCTGGAGGGCGTGGTTGAAACCAATGGCGATTTTATTGAATAAATTTAATCTTTAGTACTTCAAGATATTTTTGTGTAATTTTGGTAAATGTATCTGTTAAAATGAGATGTCAGAGTTATTTTAATTTTGCGTAATTTAGATGACAATTTATCCATCGCACCCTGTGTGTATTCATATATTGCCTGACTAAGATCCTGTTATGTAAGTTTCGTACAGTCTTGCTTAACGCTATCTAGAATCACAAGGATTTATTGTTTTCACAAGCCTATATACTTTTGTCCGTGTCCACTGCTGTATAAGGGATGAAGTTGTAACAGTATAATTTTATGGTTTGGCGTGGGCGTACCCAGGAATTATAGAAAATCGATATGGAATGAAATATGCTCGGTTTGTATAGAGCCAACTGAAACACATTCATTTCTTTCTTTCTTTTCTTCTGTTTTTCTGACTTGGGCCACTAAACACCTTTACTTAGTCTACTATTCAACAGATTAAGCGTTTGCATGAAGAATTCAAAGCTGTTGTACCCAATCTTTCATAACTACTTTTATTCAATTCTTCTCTTCTTTCTGCTGCCATGATACGTTTGTTGCACGTGACCCGAGCCATTATTTCCGGTTGGATATTCACTGCTGCGGATAGAGACTGTATTTGACTCTGATTGGTCAGTCAGTAATTGACCTCCCCTCGACTCCTGATCTCAGATCAATAAACATGGCCGTCATAACAACAGGCCGCCGCTCAGCACACCATTCATATATGCAGCTTGCAGATGGAATCAAGCTTCACCAGTCCATACCGCGGATATTTGAGGAAAACTTAAAAGAACTTGCGAGAGAGCGAGAGAGAATGAACGAGAGAGAGAGAGAGAGAGAGAGAGAGAGAGAGAGAGAGAATGAGGGTGGGAGAGAGAAAGAGAAAGAGTAAAATTTTTATAGTTCAGCACGTTCCGCACATGTAATCAAATTCTTGTATCGTTCGAGGTTTTAAGCTTGTTCAACAGCAGAAGCCAGCACCTTCAACAAGTAAGCAAGCGAAAGCATTGAGACTTTTACGCACAAATGCGCGCGGCTACGTAAGCTTTTTCGGTTAATTCTTTGAATTAGGTACAATACGTGCGGCCAGATATTTATGTACACTGACATTTGGGTAGAGTAGAAGAATACAACACTCTGAATGTTGATAAAAATGTCTCGAACATTACGGATGGGTGAACGCATATCTCCTAAAATCCAGCGAGGAAAACCTCTCGATCATGGTGAGTGAGGCAACTATTTGATTCATTTGCGAAATTATACTTCATCCTGTTATTCCTTTAATTCGATCTGCAAATCACTTGGGTAGCATAACCGATTTTTACGTAAAGATAATTTTCAAATAGACAGGGTGGTTGGAATTTAAAATTGAAAAAAAAAATCAATAATGAATCACTTCTCTCTATATTTCTGACATAAGTTATTGTAACTATTTACATTTCTCGGACTGTTGTCCTCATCTTTGTTGTCATATTCACGACATTTTGGCGATTGTATGCTCCGGCCTTCTTCAGGTGATTATATGTTGGAATTTCGAATAGAACCCTTTATTTAATGCACGGGGGTAGACTGTTCTAGTTGCCACGTGACCTGCTTTTTCTGCATGTCTCATTTTCACTTAATTCCCTTTTGTAGCTCATCCCTCAAAGGTTTTGTTCGCCTCTGCCGCGGTCAAGGAGTAATGAATTCACAAATTTTGGGGTCAAGATAAAAGCGTTGGTAATCCAGTGACTTAACCTAAAGAGTTATGAGTTCAATACCTGGCCACAGCAGAGGTGAAGAAAAACTCTGAGAGGTGAGTTACTAAAGGGAGATAACTGAAACTGGGACATCCAGAAAATGTACGGCACCTCGCTCTAGAACAATCTACCCCCGTGGACTGAATAAAGGGTTCGATTCGAAATTCCGACGTATATTAACTGAAGAAGGCCGGAGCGTACAACGGCCGAAACGTCGTGGATATGACAATAAAGATGAGGACAACAGTCCGAACAATGTAAATAGTGTAAATGAGCCATTCTGTCTGAGGGTAGGAAGAAAACACTTGAATATTTAATGGAAGGTGTAGTTGAAATAAGAATCTCCTGGGTAAATTTACCTAAATAAATATATAATATATTCAAACAAAATTCAAATATAATATATATATATATATATATATATATATATATATATATATATATATATATATATATATATATATATATATATATCTGTCAGGCCTGTCTATTTGAAACTCTAAGACAAGTATTTACCGAACTTAAAATATGACTCATTTGGATTTGAAAATCCTCTATAATGCCACCTATTCAAGATTTGTTAACGAAGCCGTTTAAAAATATTTTAATAAAGACTTTTTAAGAAGTTTTGTTTGAAATTTATTCATCAGAAAGAGTTCGTTTAAAACTTTTCTCTAAGAATATAATAATGCTAATGGTTTTTATTCTAGGTATTAAGAAACCTTATGTTTAATGATAAATAGACGATCTCTTACTTAGTTGCTTAACCTCAGTGATTTAGTTCATAAGAGCCGATTTGGAGCCCATTTAAGGATTCTATACTTAGTAAAGAACGGAGAAGGAAGATTCGAGTCAAGTTATGGAATCTTCTAAAAATAATATTAATATCAGTTTTAGAAACGATATGTAATTAATATCAATGCAAAATCAAGAATAATGACGAATTATGAACGAAAAATCGAAATAGAAAAGAAAAAAATATGTATTTTTGTTATGATACAAATTAAAATAAAGAGTTTAATCATAATTGAGAATATTTATAATTCAAGATTTTCCCAATGACCGAAGTTTTTGAGTTAGCAGTTTCACATAACTTCCATTCTGTTTATTATAGGATATTTCGAAGTACTTATTTCATTGACGTTTCGAACAAAATTTATTCTTAATAATTTCAAGATAACATTTGGTATGACCAACAATAATGAACTATATCTAGATATTATCACTTGTACCAACATCACCTACTCATCTGATTATTGGTTTAGTTTTTATTATGTCATAACAGAGAAGATCAAGTGGATTATAGCACCATCGGATTATTGAAGGAAACCTTAAATCAAATCGTCAGCTTTATCTCGTATGCAAGAATTTAATTTTTTTAATTTTTTTTTTTTTAGTGATCGCTTCCTTTATGATGATGGAGTTGATGACTAAATTCGCTGTCAAACATGCAGGTTCCGCACTAAAAGTTTCCAATTTCACCAACACCTGCCGCCGTCATCCATTCCCTATCACCGTTGCAAGAAGTGGTTGAAGGTGAAAGAAAATCAGAGGAAAATAAAGTGACGATGGCATACATTTGTTTAAGGTGGACCTCAACTTGCCAGGAAATGACTCATGCACTTGATTTCATGACCTTCCTCTGTGGCACATATGGAATGAGACATACAGAATCCAGTTATGAAACGACAAAGGAATGCTGCTATGTTATAATTTTGAATGGCGCCTTCTATAGCATATCCGTCATGCGTAGCCCTCTTCATCCTCTGGTTCAAACATTGAGATATTTTGCTTGTCTCACCGTTGGCGGTCGTTGGGGTTGGTTGTGTTTAATCTGGGTCCTCGCCTTCGACCTTACCGCCAAGAGTTGCCCTAACAGGAGTTTGAGAGCTATACCGTCGGGATTTTTAGAGTCACTGGACCACCCAACAAATAGGAAAAAAAAAATCAAAAATATATTACAGTTCTCAGTCAGGAAGAAGATAACTATATCAATAGTTGATTTGAACTTTTCCTCAACTACTTTGACACCTAAACAACTTTAAATGCCTAAAATAAAGTTACCAGTTAATAAAAATGTCTTTTTCTAGACAGCCAATAAGATCGCCTATGTAAGACACACGTGAGTATATATTCATATGTTTCGAACCAGTATGACAAGTATTGAGATGTTCAACGCGTATAAGTCCATGTCATACTCATGTTTCTTATTTATGCACAGCTGTCATCAGGCTGAGGTAAATATATATCCTGTGAATTTGGAAAGTCTTTAAAATATGACGAATGGGTATTTTGTCAAGATCAAACAACAATGATGACCAGGTAGCGGAATGGCTATTGACCCAGAAAAATGAAAACTGAGAGACCGGTTCAAATTTTGGCGAAGTCTGTTCCGCACACATTTACTCTTTGTGGGTTAGAATTGACTCTCTTACTTTGGTTGATAACCAATCAAGGAGAAACAAACTTTGAATACAAATCTTTTTAGTGTGCGGCAGTGACGTGTAGAGGTTTGGTGATGCCCGAAGTCAACCCTTTCATGGTATATCCCTAAGACTCAAGTAAGGGGACCTAGTACTGAGATATGTGAGAAAGGGAGACATTTTAAATATGTAAAAAACAGATGAAACATGAAATAAACACTTTATTCAATTTAAATATAAACTAAATTTTTAATTCACTCTTTGATTGCATGCTCTTCTGATAAGGATACCCGGGGTTGTCGCACTCTCTTCCTCACTTATGCACGCTACTAGCGTTGAGTAAGAAACTCTAGCCTCTAAAAGCCACTTGTTACTGAAAGTACAACAGTATTGCTGAGCATGGTTTTGTTGCATCTCTAAGCTCCTTGGGAGAATATAAAGGTTCATGAAGAAGAAAGTGTAAGAAATCTCTATTTGTGAGAAACCATTCAAAGAAGTACAACTGAGAAGAGGTTAGAAGAATTAGATTAAAAAGAAACTGATTCTATTTCGTTTATACATTGGTATTTATTCCTATCTGCATCAGAGCAATTAAAGATTGTGTAGCTTATAGTCATGTGGGAAGGTTGTAATGAACTGATCATTATGACCAGAGGACAAATAAATGTATTTGTATTTGAATGTTCGTATAAATAAAATCTGCTTACTTGAACAGAACTCCTGCACACTTGAGCAGAAATCCTGCTTACTTGAGCAGAACTCCTGCTAACCTGTGCAGAGCTCTTGCTTACTTGAACAGAACTCCTGCTAACCTGTGCAGAACTCAAGGTTTTTTTGAGCGGAACTCATGCTTACTTGAGCAGAACTATTTACCTGAGCAGAACTCCTGTTTACTTGAGCAGAACTCCTGCTAACTTGAATAGAACTCCTGCACATTTGAGCAGAACTCCTGCCTACTTGAACAGAACACCTACTTACTTGTGTAGAACCCTTGATTAAGTGAACAGAACTCCTGCTTACTTGAGCAGAACTCTTGCTTACTTGAGCAGAACTCCTGCTTACTTGAACAGAACTCCTGTCTCCGGATTCGCTTCACCAAATTTAGCGCTGATATCAACCAACTGCCAACTGTCTGGCTCTCAACCTAACAGAAATGACAGGAAGTGAAATCCCGTTATAAGTGAAAACGGGCTTCATGTGCATCGACAAGAGATAGATTATCTTAGATTACCTTGCTTTCACCATTTATAGTTTAATATCATCTGAAATAAGACAATGACTGCAACAATGTAATCGCCTACGTTGTGTTGCAGGAAGCGATCACTACACGATTCTAAGTATCGATCTGCTTCATCAATTGACGGTCATCAAGAAGCCTGATTGCATCGGAAAGTTAGGAACGAAGCCAATTCAATCCCGGCGACAACAACGCTAGGCTTTGTTCTATAAAACGACCATCGTACTTACCAAGTCAGCCCAGAAGAATATGTATAGGGTAGTGATTTATACCATGAATATACGCTGGATTTTAAGAGGAGCACTCCAATCTTTGCAGAAAGAGATGCTAGTGCTTGGTTGCAATCAGTTTTTTAATCCATTCACTCCAAGCAAGGCAATAACGCCACTATGACGCAGCAGACTACTGGGAGTGAAAAAGAAGGAAAAAAAATTAAAAGAAGCCAGAAGCCCAATCCTAAACAGGAAACAAGGGATCAACCCCTACTTCTGTTCAAAAAACCGCACGGGATTGTGAAGCGGATAATAACGAACCTACCTACTCCTATTGAGGAAATAAATAAATAAATAAATAGTATAAATTTCAGAGTTTAGACAGAAACGTTAGGTGTATAGAGCTGAAGCAGACTTTAGAAGGAACCGGAAAACCCAGTGCTAAACAGGAAACAATGGATACACCTCTACTCCTGTTTAAAAAACCGGGGAGAAATGTAAATCTATCCACTCCTATTGTGGAAAAAATATAAAAAAATGATTATACTTTTTGATAAGTATTTGATATTTTTAAGCATTTAACGAAGGTGATGGACAATCTGCGAACAATTTGTTGACGCAAATGTATTAAAAGAAATATAACAATATTTCCTTAGATTTATCATGCGCCCACGCGAGATAACCTCTTACTCTATTATGCGCCATGACCTTTCAGGGTGTGGATAATGGTTCTCCACAGTTTCCTATTCTTTGTAGCTCTAAACAATGTTTATTTCCTTACTATCAACTATAAGTCCCTGTTCAGTCATCTATTTATACAGGTCTGTTAGGTAGTTCAGTGGTTGTTTCTCTCTCTCTCTCTCTCTCTCTCTCTCTCTCTCTCTCTATATATATATATATATATATATATATATATATATATATATATATATATCTGTTAAAATGAGGTGTCATTTTTATTTTCATTTTTGCGTAATTTAGACGTCAATTTATCCATCGCATATATATATATATATATATATATATATATATATATATATATCCAACAATAAGAACATTATTTTAGCCTGATGAAGTCCTTTTTAATGTCGAAACGTATTAGATAGAATTTTTTATTTTGTCATTCGGTTACCCACAAAATGAATTGTAATTAACATAATGTACAGGAAATTGAATTATTTACTGTTTGCTTAGTTCTGTGGGGACAGTCCTACAACCATTGAGCCATCACCAATGTATACGTTATAATAGCAATTAGAAAGTAGCTATTCTAAAAAAAAATATTTTGGAAATATTTTACGAAGTTTTAAATTTATTAGATTGTTTTGTAGGATTAACAAGTCAGTCTTAGCAGAAATTCTGTTGAAATTTAATTTAATTAATAAATCTACAGACTCTCTTATTGCATCTTTTTTAGAACCTTTTTCTTTGCAACGAGATGCCAATTCGTTCTATTGATAATTCTCTGTGTGTGATCGTAGTTTATTCCGCAGTCTGCCAGAGAAACATTGTTAGACTGTTATCAGAACGTGACGCTTACTTAGTGCATGTGATGCGATTAGTTTACTGCAATAGTCGTACTTCTAATCAGATATTCTAAAAACGATATTGCCATCTGCCAAAGTCTCTTTTTTCTTTAACTTTCTTTTTATAACTTGAATGTTTATTGTAACCGTTTCTAATAAACACTTTATTAACGTGACCTATTTTTTAAACTCTACTTGTGACTGATCAGGTGAAGAGAATAGTTATTTTTTTTTAACATTTCAACTTGAGGAAATTATGCTTGTTGAGTTTATTATATTTGTGAGCGTGCTTTTGTGTCCATTTTCCTCCTCTTTTGTATTTGCAATCATTCAATCAAGCATAGCCAAGGGCATAAAAATCAAATCGATACTATTGATATAGCACGTGGTTTATTATGGTTACGTCGGCGAAGGTCATGGCTCATATGGTCGATTTTTCACATACAAATTAGTTAATTCAATGAATCGGTTGATAGGGGTTTGATCCACAGGAGAATCATGGAGTTTTTTTTTTTACATCTGTCAGTCTCTTAGTTGTTTCTTATTGTGATTACGATTAAAATTATTTATTCCGGTTGAAAGGTCACGATATTTATTAATATTTTTTTTCTTTGGTTGAACTGCTGAAAATGTTATATCATTCACTCCAAAATAGACTTCAAGAAAGTTTACCCCTTTATTACTTGAAACACTCCCCCAATAGTGGAACTCGTCTGATAGCGTTATGCCATAAAATTCAGTTAAGATCAAAATACTTCACTTTTATCCTCATTGAGGAAACTTGGCATATCGAGTGGGTGATCAAGACAATGGGCGTCTTCACATTTAACCCTTACAGCGAGGCTACCTTAAGAGAACTAGGAATCCTAACAGGATTTATTATCAGTGGGCACAATCTTAACAACATACGATACTCACATGACACCTTGATGATAGCGGAATCAGGAAGAAGACAGCACAAACCCTTAGATAATGTAGTAAAGTAAAGCGGGAAGCAAAGAGTAAATTCGAATTTATATAAAATACAATGGGCAATGATAAGTTTTTAGCCACCCTTAATTACAGCGATTTTGGCTTGTGTAATAACGTCTCTATCAGAAAATACGATGTTAGTATCAAGCTACTCTCATCTATGAACGATAGTTGACTTATATTTTGCAATGAAAGTTCGCGGAAGTAAGGAAATTTGTGAATTTCAACAAGGGCAAATAATAGGATGGTATCATTGTGGCAAGTCAAACAGAGAAATTGCTAGGTTTTTCCAGGTTAATCATCAAACGGTTAATAACATTGTCAAGAAATTTAATGAAGAAGGCCATTGTCATGTGGAACAACATTCAGGAAAACCAAGCATCGTATCTGAGTGAACGGAAAGGGCGCTGAAGGTGGAAGTAATCAGAACTCGTCGTCAGAGCGTCAAAGATGTCGTCAACAGCATGGAAATGTCGCCATATGCAGAGAGAATGACTTTGAAAGAGCTTGACTATCAAAGAAGAGTTGCAAGAAAGAAACCCTTGATTTCAGGGGTTAACAGGAACAGGCGTATTGATTGTGTGAGAGAATTCGAGAGCAAAGATTATGTATTTTTGGTAGTCGGCAATTTGATCAGATGAAAGTAAATTCTGCCGATATTCGAATTCGACAGGTTTATGTTTGGAGAAATCAGAATGAGACGTGGAACACTGAATGCCTGCAGGCGACCGTGAAACATGGATGGATTGGAATAATGGTGTGGGGCGCTATTTGGTTTGAAGGGAAATCTGAGTTGATTCTTGTTGACGAGCGGTTGAATGATCCAAAATACTGTCAAATATTTGAGAAAGGACTACTCCCACTATTTGAAACCAATCAGATTGACAAGAATGTTTACCTTTTTCAAGAAAATGGAGCTCCATGTCATACGAGCAACGTAGCAAAGGCCTGGAAGGAATCGCAAGGAACCAAGTTACTGCGATGAGTAGCGCAATGTTCTAATATGAATCCAATAGAGCACGTTTGGGAGCACCTTCACCGAAAACCTCGAGAGCGTGCAACCGAAATCACGTCAGTGGCAACCCTTAAAGAAACATTGTTAAAGGAGTGGCAAAATATGGATCATATTGTTGATAATTTGATCAAATCCATGAAAAATCGAATACAAGCACTGAAACTAGCAAATGGAGGACCTACTCCATACTAGTCCCAAATGCTGTTTGTTTATGTTGAGTTGGGATTACGTAATTACATTTTGAAATTGGATGTAGTTTATTTCTCTTGGATAAAAAAAATTTTCTTGGGCTACTGTACTTGTCAATTTCTAGTTGGATTTTAGAGTGAAAGCACTTTTGCATTAACGGTCATTGTGATGACAAGCTGTTTCGTTTTTAAAAATCCGACATAAGCTATCTTCCAGAAAGCAGTAATATCATAAAATTGGTACTTGAGATCAAAATATTTTCCTCACTTTACTTTTCATATTAAGACCGTACATAAGACAGGAGTACTGTCTTGACACAATATTTATTTATCCATTACACCAAGGTTATCTGGAAATATCCGTATTTATTATTGGCGAGTACAATCTTAACAGTATAGGATACGCAAATGACATCTTGATGGTAACAGAGATAAAAAGGGAACTACAGGAACTCTTAGACAACCTAGTAAAGGAAAGACCGAATAAGGGAGTAACTATTAAGCATAAGAAGACTGAATATATGACCGTGTGCAAGAGTGATAGCTAACGATATGGGCTGCTAATGGAAAAAGTCTAATAAAGCACGTATAGAAATTTAACTATCAGGCAAGCGTTTTTAAGAGACGACTGAAAATGTGACAGGATGTACATTGGAATAGTGTCAAATGTCTTCTAAAACTTGTCTTATGTGTCGTGTCCCTTCAGGATGGAGACGATCATGGCCCTCCACATTTTCCTGTACATTGTAGCTCTTAAAAAGTTTTTTTTTATTATTTCTTCCAAACCCTGTTCTACCATCCATGTCCTGAAGCTAATCAAGTAGTTTACGCGTTGCTCTCCTCTATCCCTCTGCCCTGTGTGTATCAGGTTTTCCAAGCCCTCCTTTCTCATTACGTGCCACAGGAATTTCAACTGCCTCTTCCTGATGTTTAAGTATAAGTTTCCTTTTTGTTTCCATCCTTTCCCAAACCTCATTGTTGCGCACATGTTCGGTCCATAGCATCCTCAGCATCTTTCTGTAGTATCACATTTCTGTTGCTTCAAGTCTCTTCTTCAAATATTAAGAAACAAAAAATTGTTGGAAAGAAAAGATAAAAGTTCTAAAATGCTATGTAATATCAGTACTCGTATATGGCAGGGAATACTGAACAATTTCTTCACGGATGAAAAAGAGACTTGAGACAATACAGATCTGGTTCTGCAGAAGCAGAGAATACCATTGACACAACATGTGAGCAACAAGGAAGCATTATGGAAAATGGGAACAAGAAGCACACTTTTAGTTAGAATCAGAAAGAGACAGTTGAAATTTCTGGGATACATATTCAGGAAGGAGGGCTTAGAGAACATGACACTCACAGGACATATTGAAGTCAAGAAGGAAACATCGAGTAGCCTGTTAAATGAGGGTGTGAATGGATGGCAGAACAAAGACTAAGAGGTATAGTAAGGGACAAATATATTCTTAAAGCAACAAAGGATAGGGAATTGTGGAAAGCCATGATCGCTCACGTCTTGAAGAGGCATAATGATGAAAGAAGAGGTCACGTGACTTGAAAGGAAACATGATGTCGGCTTCGGTTCAAAGCTAAACTAAAAAGGACTCCAGTTATCGGAAGTTTTTAAAATAATCTTTTTTGAAAGGTCTCGCCATAATTGAGAGTTTCTGCAGTTGCATTATTCCAAATGGTAGTTCTTTTTTCAGCCGAGTCCCTTTTGCACGTGTGCGATCATGGTTTTCTACAACTTCCTATCCTTTGTATCTTTGAATAATAATTGTCTTCAAACTTTCCCTGCCATCCACTGTCTGTCATCCATTTACACAATCTTGTTAGATATGTTACTCGTCGTTTCTCCCTGAATCTCTTGTTTCTAATAAATGACACAGCAGTTCAGTGCACCGCTCTTTGTTTCTAACAAAATTATCCTGTTTCATAGCTTCTGAAAGGCATCTTTCGCTACTCCAGCACATCTTTGGATTTCTGTGTCGTATTTGCCAATTTTCCACAGTCTCTTAAAGCACTTCCCAGATAATTAAATTTCTGTATTTGCTTCATTTTTACGTCTTTGTAGTTCGTCCTCTGTGCTGTTACTCTTGCTAACGACAATGCATCATCTTTTTACAATTAATTGTTAGTCCTTTCTCCCCGTTTTCCTTTACAACACTGTCCGTGCAGTTTTTCTTCTGTGTCACCAATACATTGTCACTCGCGTATCTTGTGTTGTTAAGATTGTACCCATAAATAATAAATCAATAATATCACCTTGCTTTAATGGTTAAATAAATCCCGTGGAAGACGCTCTCCTATCCATTTTGTCTACCTGCTCTATTCATTTATACAGGTTCTTTGTTCCCAGCAAATGTTCTGGATGATTCTCATATCTTTTCCATGCAGGATAGTCTCTATAAAGGTGCAGATGAACATAATTTTTTTCAATTCACCACAAGCAAGGCAATAAAGCCACCAAGACGCAAGTAGGTAGTGGGAATGAAAGAGAATGAGAATACATTGAAAGGAACCGGAAATCCAGTACTAAACAAGAAACAAGGGATAAAATTCTTGCTCAAAAGATCGGGGAGGAGTGTGAACCGGTCGATAGTCTATCCTATCGTGTCGAAAGTCGAATAACTTTTTTCCGAGTGCAGTGAATAAAAATCAAACTTTGTCATCTATTGGAACAAACGATATGTTAAGATGATTGTTTAAATAACTGTATAAAAAAATTCACGTGTTCGAATTTATTTTTAAACGAACGTTTAAAGAAAGATCTATAAGTACTTCTTACCTCTATAAACAACCCCCGTACCCTCTATTCTAACAAAAGATATTCGCTTCTTGTACTTGGTTCCAAGAATATTAAATGAGAATACTACGGCTACTTGGAACGTTGTGGTTACTACTGCTACAAATCACAATGGCTGCATTTTCAGCGTCGTTGTAAAGAAACCTATTCATTTAGTTTAAGCTTGTTACTAACTTTCACTCATAATTGGCTCACTATTGTCTTGTATTCTGCTACATATACTTGCTATATGAAAGTTCTCTCATTTTACTTACTTTGTACTATTGCTACTACTTTGGCATCGTGATTTTAAAGCTTTGCTCTCAACCTGATAGTATCAGTACCACCTGTTGATAGCATTTTCTCGATTCTCGAATGTGACATCGCTACTACTATTACAGTCGTAGAATGGCGAGATGTTTATCTTACGATCTTTCGAGGCTAGTTTCTATCAACGGGTTGATATATGAAAGTAGAGAATCGTTTTACATGATATTATCATAATTAGTAGCTATTACTAATTATTTTCATGAGACACATATCTAATTCTTAAAAATAAATACTTCCTGTTAATTAAGACTGCGTCAACAACAGCAACACGTATATATTTTCTGTTTTTGTTATTTAATAGCAAAAACATGAAAAATATATACGTGTAAATACATACAATTTATCTCGACGCCTTCACATCTATCTATCTATCTATCTATCTATCTATCTATCTATCTATCTATCTATCTATCTATGTAACAGCGGTTTCACATCTATCGATCTATCTGTCGATGCTTTCCCATGTACCTATCAATCTATCGATGCTTTCACATCTATCTATCTATCTATCTATCGATGCTTTCACATCTATCTATCTATCTATCTATCGATGCTTTCACATCTATCTATCTATCTATCTATCTATCTATCTATCTATCTATCTATCTATCTGCGCTTTCACATCTATCTAACTCCCTATCTCGGCACTTTTACATCTCTCCCGACGCTTTCACATCTCTCTCTCTCCCAATGCTTTAACATCTTTCTCTATCTCTCAATGCTTTCAAATCTTTCTCTCTTAGTATTTTCACATCTTTCTCTCTCGCAATATTTTCACATCTTTCTCTCTATCAATGCTTTCACATCTTTTTTCTCTCTGTCTCAATGCTTTCATATCTACTTGTCTATTAAAGTCACTAATGATTATATTCATAGAAGTTGTTTGTAGCTTATTTGAACCATAATTAATGAAGTTGTTAGTTAACCAAAGGATAGCTAACAAAATATTCTAAAAAAGCAGAATATATTATTGTCCCTTTTGTTATCTTTCTCTGTTAATAATTAATGAGAAGCAAATTCAAAATAGAGCATTGTACTTTTTCTTAGCAGAAAGAAAAAAAGGAAAGCGACTTTCTTTAAATCATTTTCTTTCAGTTTTGGAATAAAAGTAAACAACCAGTTATTTTGAATTCATCCCAGTCAGTACGTTAGTGAATTTTTCAGGAAAATAGCTCGGTGTTATCTGAGCTCTTGATCTGTAGACAGAGACGTACAAAAGCCAACACACAGACACAAAATGCCGTTCAAATCATTCATTACTCATAGTAGAAAGACATTGAAGCGTAAATGAATTACTATATCTTGTGGCATAGGAACTATTCTTTGATGACATAAATAAAATATTTATATTCAGCAACTTATTTCTAAAAGCTAAAACTTAACTGGAATTCTTAACAGTATAACGAGTCAAGTGTAGCCTTACTCATCAAATTCCTCTGTAATTCAAACAAAATTAATAAATATTACTTATATTTTCTTTGCAAGTAATGTACGAAATATCTTTTGGAAATGTATTAAGAACACTAGCACTAAAATCGATTCTGAAAAATGGAAAATAAAGACGATTATTAGGAAAGTTAACACATTCCTGCTTTCCTTCTCAGTGGTTTATTAATCAAATCAATGAGTAAAAATCTTCTTCCATTTCTTTTTGATAACCCCCTTCCTTCTTGTTCTAATGATGAGTTATTTCCCTTCTTTTCTTCCACTCTGTGTACTCGTCATCATCTCTTCCTTCATATTTAGGTTGTTTTAAATCTTCTTGTAAAACCCGAGAAAACATAAACGGATGATAAATCTAAATCTTATTTACCATAGGATTAGAACTCGCAGAATATTGGCACAAAGGTCAAATAAAAAAATAATAAATTAAGCGACTTTTGGCCGGCAGTTTTTAACGTGAATGCGAAGAATTTACTCTATTTTGGATCCGCACCAAAGAACCAGAATTGGTTCTTTGTACGACTTACAGGCAAACTGACTATGGAACGTTCTTGGATCTAAATATTTCTTTCGAATCGGACTACTAATTTGCATTTCATTTGATATTTAAATTCAATCTCACTATTTCGTTTCATAAACTCACACGTACATATTGGACAGTTACACGTTTCCGAGCAAACCTTTCCCTGTTGCAAAAGTCTGCTCAGGTCCATTTGTACTTGTTCAACGACTACAGAGCCCACCTATGGTTGATACTGTAACGGATCGGATCCTAGTCACAGTTTTTCTGATTTACTCAGCATCAGTCATCACCTCGTGTATATTTGATTGCCAAATATGGGTATATTGGGCTTCGTCTGTTATTGAGTCATTATTAAGTAAGAGTTGCAAAAGTCACTTGACTTGCTGCTCTTATTCAATAATGATAACAACACAGTAATGATGGCGCTATGAAATGAAATCAATATGGTGTGTCGTGAGAAATATGAAGATCTGAAAAATTAATTTATCATATGTTATGTCTATTGGAAGCTAGACAAGATGAGAATATTGAGTTTGAATGAACATTTGATGTAATGCCAGATGAAATATATACCTGGATATATTCGTGGATAAAAATATTTGCCCAAATGATGTTGTGTGTGTGTTTTAAAGACAAGCTCTTTAGTTGGGTTGGGTTCGCTTATAGAATGAATAATCAAAAGCCCAAAATATACACGTGTGTGTGCATATGCATCTGTGTGTGTTCAGAGTGCTGGGTGTGAAATATATATACATTTAATCATTTCACCCCAAGCAAGACAACAAAGACACTTAGACTAAGGGTTACTGAGTGTGAAAGAATATAAGAAAAAGAAAGACATTATTAAGGAGCGAGAATAATAAAAGTATAAGAATTAAGAAGGCAGAAGATAACGATTTACATTGCATTTAAGTTCTTGAAGATTAAACTTGACTGGAAGGCAAGAAGCCAGAAGTGAGTTCCACATTCAAATACGAAAGATAAGAAAAACACTATATTATCAAAATATATAGGAACTAAAATGAAACAAAAAATCGTTCCTAGAATGCTATAAAAATAAAATAAATCTCAAGAGAAACGGAGATAGAAATTGAAATTTATGCATGGACGCCATTGTCGAATTCAAGAACATGATTAATGCAATAAACAAAAAGAATGAAACTATTTTGAACTGTCTTAACGCCGACGCTCTTTTCGAAATACGTAAAAAGAACAATAAATATCAAGAGCGTTAGTAATATACAGCAACACATTTTGAAAAATCACCAAGCGTGAAACAGCAACTTTAATGGCTAAATGAAACAACAGTGTTATTTTTACGTGTGTGTATATCAATATATGTAGGTATATAAAATAAGTACATATTTGTCAGAAGCAAATTTGAAGATTATTTCTAGTGATAACTGGCAGTTTTTGCTTTCTGTTATTCAATAATTTGCTATTTGGCTTTTAGTAAAGATATATTCCCAGAGACGGGTAGCTTGCACACGAATACATTCTAGCTAAACTGGACATTGTTTTTACTTTTAGAATTAACTAACTGAAGATACAAATTTATAAATCATAAATGCTTTCATGACACAATAATTCTTTTTTTAATTCTTTTATTTGATGGTTTCCAAAAGTTCTTGATCAATCCTTGTAAGATGGAAAACTACTTCTGAGAAAATCCAACTTAATTCCATATCCTGCTTTTTTTTTCTCGTCGGAATAGAAGCTTAAAGAAGGATTAAGACGGACTGCAAACACCCATATACATTCAAATCGTGGGTAGGAGATATCCTTTCATTATTTAGTTCCACTAGTTCATGATCGGGTGCGTCATACTATTGCCACAGTACTGAATCACCCTAATTCCACCTCCCCCAGTATTCCAAATGTAAAGAGAAAGTTAAACTGAGACAGAACTGCTACTTTGTGGGACAGACTCCCAAGTGGATGCTTCCATGAACATCGTAACCTCTTTAAGTGGCAATCGTTAACTATGACAGCCTACTGATCTTTCTTTCATTCACATCACATACTTTATTCATTAAAACGACTTTAATGCTAAACCTGCACCTGGAGTGGCGCTCGAGTCTTGTATTATGTATGCTTCAGAATCAAAATACATCCACACAACACCCAGTTAGCATATCACACCTGCATATATTTACGCACACATCCATCTATCTGCTCACTTATCTCGTCAATTAAAAGAATTTCAATCGACTTCAAAGAAAATTAGATTGAAGTTTTATTAATGAGAACTTTCTTCATAAATTTCTAGTATACATACTATGAGTATATATATATATATATATATATATGCGTGTGTATGTGCGTACATAGATGGAATATGTGAAGAGCTAACCTGAAATGAAATGTATGTAGTATGGAATTTTGCCGCTAACATTTATGAGCAGTAATATTTATGACAGTGTAATTTATGTTCAAAGGAGATTTTTCAAGTTTAAATACTAAAAGTGTTAAGATTAAGTAATTCTTCTTCTCATAGACATAATTCCGAAATATTTTAGACAACATCTTGCATAAACTTATTTATATATATGTATATTTTTTTTTAAGCATTACGCCCCAAGCAAGGCGTGAAGCCACTAGGATGCAGGGGGTTGCGGAAGATTTGGAGCGAGAGCGGATAGGAGTGATAGAAGAAAGGATGAGGAGAAGGATAGTGGGTAGATCAAGGAACCTGGAGATGTCGATTGACATTACATTTGAATAGTTGGAGATTATAGCTCTCAGGGAAACAGTAATTGGGAAGGGTGTTCCACTGGCGAGAGGTGCGAGGTATGAAGCTATTGGAGTAGAAGAGACGGTTACATTTAAAAAATTTCTATAGTGTAAGGGTGGGAGCGCGATGCCACGCAACAAATGATTTAAAACGCACATACATGAATACATATATACATAAATATATACATACACATAAAAACATAAATATTCCAGTATAACTGACAAAAGAAATTTATTATTTTCTTAATCCAAAAGCCATATTTTCAGTTTTCTTTGCTGACATGAATACATAAGAGATGTTACCAAAATTCACCAAAATTGATTAATCCATTAGTTACATTGAAATCTACATCGATAAGAAATGTTATAGGAATAAATAGTAAGAAGTAAATATATCTGTCGGCTGATATACATCCAAAGATACGTACAGGTAGACTTCTTAAGAAAGCACACCACTGTCTAACAAGAAGACATCAAACAAACTGAAAGCAACATTATATTCCTTTATACTTACACGGAAACATAAATTGTATTTCAGTGAACAACTAAGTCGAGTCTGTAGAAATTACAAAGCAGTAACTGATTCGTCAAATCACAGACTGGTAACACTTCACTGAGCTACAGAAGCCTCTTTCCCGAAATTCCAACGTCGTTAAGGCTTTATTCGTTCAGAATTAATAATGATCCTACAGATAGGAAATTATAAAGCATTTTCTACAAAGGCAAGGATTGGCCTTGAACGAGAAAGAGGATGAGGACATGGTTTTGTATGATGCCACACATGGCAATCTAACTCTCGACAGGTCTGTGATTTAAAAGAAGACTTGAAACACACACATACACAAATTATCATGATTACTCAAAATAAGTTTCTGAATACATCTGACAGATAAAGGGTTTCTGTCTTTAGTAATAATATTTGTGTGAATGACCATAAATTAAAAACTATAAACATCTTAGTAGAAACGTATGCAAAAACCACCGTAACCACTTCTTCATTGCTTGGAATGTGACAAAAACAACTGAAAAGGACTATTTACACTATTTACATTGTTCGAACTGTTATCCTCGCCTTTACTCTCATATTCACCATGTTTTGGCCGTTGGGTTAGGGTTATAGTTAGCCGAAGCGTTGTGAATATGACAATAAATGCGAGGACAACAGTTCGAACAATGTAAATACTGTA